GGCGGCGGCCGGCGGGCGGGCGGGGTGAGTGAGTGAGTTAGTACTAGGTTTAGCCATATTAATAATGAAAAAAAAAACACCGACATCGCTTCAGCTATCTCTCGCAGTCTAGAGTTGACCCAGTAGTTAAAGGTGTTCAACCACTGGGCAACCACTAAAAAGTTTAACCACTGGGCAGGGTAGCCCAGTGGTTAAAGTTTAGAGTATCAGGATTGGCGCAGAGAGGCGCGGGTTCGATCCCAGCTCTGTGCGCCAGTTTCTGGTCAGAATCGGCAAGGAGGCCGGGCGGTTAAACAAAGCAAAATTGAAGCAGTGAGTTGCGAGTTTGAGACCACAAAATGCTGTGAATGTTCTGCGATGTTCAGAATCGGCGACAGGCCTACGGCCTAATAAACGCTGAAACCGCTATTTATTATTATTAAACTTCATTATTATTCATTCAAAATAGGTTTTCCCTAAGAATGAAACGTTGTACGGACCGAGAGAACTGTAGCCGTTGGTTTGCGCGTAATAATTCAGTTTTTTGCGTGCATTTTTGCCGTTGCGTGATAATGTAAACATGCAGTATACCGTAGTTCTTCCATGTGGTCTACTAGCTGACAGAAACAAATTTTATTCAGCATATACCGTACGTATGATAATACAACCGTGTGTAAATAAATTGGCTTGATAATGTTATCTTGTGGTAATTTTATTATGCCATAATGTTAAATGCATATAATTACTTAGTTTGCAGAAGCTTAAGCAGAGACGAGATGGCCGGCTGCGGTTCACTGCCATGCCAGCCAATGTCACGGCGGGCGCATCTCCCACAACAACCACCACTGTTGTCCAAGAAATGTCAGACATCGCAATCTGCCTTGATTTAGGACATTTTTCTGAATAAATTTAGTTGGTTCATCATTATTATGCAGACTGAAAGATGCAGCTACATAGATATAAGGATTTCTCGGTATTCTTTAAATCTCTATCGAATTTGCTGATCGTCAGCCGGCAATTAAAAAATAGTCAGGATTTTCGATGCATAGTTATTGATCATTATTACTATTTATCACTTACAGTCTTACACCAACTATTTATCACTTACTTTTCGCCTATGAAGCGAGCACGTGTTTTGGGTAGGTAGGTATTGTTACGAATGCTTGGATCGGAGACGTGAGTGCGGTCATGGGTTGCGCTCATGGCTTGTGCTCAGCATAAGCCACAAAGGTAATGTAAGTCATCGACTTTAAGTAACGTGTATATAAGGCTCGACAGAGTTAGGTGAAGACTTCAGTGCAGGACTTGATGTGCTGAAGAGTTCCTCGATCAAGTTATTTTCTTCTTGATCATCACCGAGATCACCGAGGTGAGTTATGCTTCATCGACACTTTTTGTTCACGTAAAATCCAGATGAGTTCGCCGAAGTGACTGAGAGTTCTGTGTTCCAAAATTGGAGCTGTAGGTAATGGGTCCGAGCCCCTCCTAACTGTGAAAATTCTGTGCAGTCTAGACTCTGATACAGGTCAAACATGGCCTTATCTTATCGAAATTATACTATTCGGCTTTGTGAGTGAGTGTAGAGAACTTTTATCTTGAAAATGTACCGAACTATTCTCTTGGCATTCTAATGGCTAATCTAAATACGTTCATCAAAATATCCTACTGTTAATTAGTTTTACGTTCATGTGGATTGTGTCCTAGACATTTTTAAATTACAATTTGGAATTTTCTTGAAGGAGAGATCGAGGATAGGTAATTAGAATTTTCTGTTTATTGTGGTAAAGAGAGCATTAATTTTCTAAGAGTTATTATGTTTTACAGAAAATGCCTGTCGGTGACGTGGGTATCACCTTGATAGTAGTGTTGGGATTGACATTCTTGGTTCCTTGCTTGGCTTTGAACTGTATTGGCTCAAATGAGGTGCTTCAGTTTTGTCAGTCATATAACGCACAGTGTGGTGGCCAAGGAGATTTTCAAGTCAGTAAATATCTAGACGAAGACATTTATTCTCATAAGGATGCAACAACGCCAAATACATTCTTCGCAGCAAAAGATGTTATTATCATCAATGCGGGGGGCACATCAGAATTTCCAATGAGAGAACTTTTGTCAGGTGTAATAGCGGAAAATTCAGACGAGGATCTAAAGCTGGGAAGACTGACAAGTGTGCTCGAGCTTCTGATTTCATCCTTTAAAGAGATCTATGCAGGGGAAATCACCGGAAAGCAAAGCAACCAATGTATCAATTGCGAGAAATATTTACCTCTGTGGACGAAAATCAAGGATGATTACGAAAACATTATTGGAACACGATTTGAAGGAGAAAAACCTCAAGTTTTTATTCATACTGAACCACCGAATCATTCGAAACTTGTTTCCTCTTATGGGCCTCGATCTTCGCGTCCTATCTTCAAAGATGTCCAGACCATTTCAGGTTTAGAAAAAAAATTTAATCTAGTGACTGATATCAAACCGGTCGTTTCGCCCGTTGAGAATCGTCAGGTTGCATCAACTAGCACGAGTGCTCATGTGGTTATTCCCAAGGTTGAATTTGGATACAGCATCCATCGTCCGAAAATAGTTATAAACGAAACTCAAATTCCCGCTTCTGGGAACAATGTTACCAACCCCAATTTTCTTATTCCTAATATAACAATTCCTTCGTTACCTTCATCGTATGTTTCATTCTCAGACAAATCTACTACTAAACCTCAAGAACTTTCACCCCGTAGAAGTTACTTGCTAGATAATTTGCTAGGCCCGACCATTAAACCGATCAACTTATCATTCTCTGGCTCATCAGCTGGAAAAGCTCCAGCAAAAATGATCGTTACATCAGATATTGCCCCTGAAAATTTTAAAAGATTACCTCAACATGTTCAGGCTATCAGTAACGATCCAGCAAGGGTAGTAGTGGATGACATAGATTATGCAATTTACGAAGTTCCTTTGGGTGATATAACCAAACCTGAAGGTGTAAGGGGGCCATTTTCATCGATGCCTTTCGCGCCTAAGCATGTAGTGGAACCATTTCCATATATTCCTAAAAACAACCATGATGTTCTAGTAGAAGTAATTGAAATTCCGATTGAAATTGAAACGCCTCTGTCGCAGGATGGTTCGTATCCACAAATATTATCAGAAAAAAGCTACCCCACTCGTACTGGCTTTAACAGGTTCAATTTGCATCAGCCGACCACAGGGGCCGAGTCGCCATTTCCGAGTATTTATAAATATGTCTCTGCAAACAGACTTGATTCGGGAATTAAAAACATTGACGATCAATTTATTATTAGTGATGATTTGAATTTACATTACAAGGTTGAGAACCCACAGCGAAATAATAGAGTTCCTTTGCAGCTCAACTTCAGAGCACAACCGCCTAGTCAATCCAACGGCTCATCGCTCTTTGATGCAGGATCGAACATTTTTCATCGTTCACCGGTGTCTTTCGTTACTGAGAAAGAACAGATAGCAATTCCTTCGTTTACTAACCTGCCATCTCTCACATATGAAATTGATCGTAGAGTTCATGACATTGAGTCCACAAATGGTTTGCAGTCGTGGTTGGACTTTTCTCGCCACCCCGTCCTGCTGGCCCAGCACATTTCGCAAAAGAAGGTGGCTTTCCCGCTTGAGAACTCCAGTATTTCGCGCGATTGGCACCGTTTCCAAACAAATATAAATCGCGAGTTCAAAAGTCCAACGCTTGAATCCAAGAATTCTAAGCTTGAATCCAAGACTGATGAAATTACTTCATGGGAAGAATTAATGGTTTCATTAAACCAAAAACCACCACAGGAAGTCGAATCAGATACGTATTTCGATTACTATGACGATGAAAATGATCTTAATGCACTTTCCTGGGGAAAATCGGATTTATTCAATAATGGTTACGCGATTGATCAGATAAGAAACAATTCTTTCGACCATTTCGGTAGTGTAATTCCTTTATACTTTGACATTTCAACACCTTCGAGTTATGATCTCACAGACTATGGAGCCGATGAGTTAGGTGAAGGTCAATCTATAAATGAAGGTTCTCATATTGACGACTATATGGAGCTTCTGGTTCCTGAAAGTGAACCCACTGATCTTTTGAAAGAACAAGTTTCACCCTCGTATGTCTATGACGACTACATATATCCAATGGACCCTCAAACCGAGCTGACACGAGCAACGGAGGTGCAAAATAGTTTACTGGGTGATCAGCTCCATTATTCAGATCAACAAAACGTACCAAAAGAAAATTCTTTCCCAATTTTTCCCGAAAGACTAAGACTAGATTCGTTACCAAGTTCTGCTGGAGAGGAGGGATTTTATTCAGAGTATTCAGAAACGAAACATGACTATGGTTCTCTACCTGAAGGTAATGAATACGATTCAGCTTACCCAGATTATGCATTTGATTCAAGTGGAAAAGAAAAAATCCCAAACGTCAGCAAGTTGGTAAATTTCCCTGTAAGTAGCAGTGGAGCGAATTCTATCAGAAATTATGTGGAGCAAGCTGGATTATCAGGGACTGTAAAACAGCAGGCAGGTTCTACTGATGGAGGACAAAACTTAAACTATTTTGGGTCTGAAGATAGCTGGGGAAAAATGAATGGTGATCTTCCTTTTAGTGCTGATTATTACAAAGATTATATCAGTAGTGAGGTTACGGACCGACAGTGGACACTTGGATTTGGAAGTTATCTTCCGACCCCGAAAATGGAAGAGGTCGTAAAAGCTGAAGGTTTCTCAGTGAACAGTTTTGGAAACCAGCATCTGTTAAATTCTTTTCATGATCAACGTTTGATTGTCCTGTCATCATACGATGACGAGGCGCTCACATCGATGGACGATGTCGGTGATAACGATTATTATGACATGGTCTATCCGAGCGAAGATAACGGTCTCTCCGCTGCGTTAAACTCCAATGCAAATTTGAAACGAGAAAACAACGGAAAATCGATCTTCAACCCATTCGCACCAATTACAAAAAGTCGTTTATCAAGATCTCTTAGAAGCTTTAACCCTCCGCAGCTCTGCACCTATCAAAACACAGGATGTGAAACTTATTGTGATGGCTTTTGGGTCGTCATACAAGATCGTGACTGGCAAACTTCACGGTCGTTTGATAAGAAACTGAGTGACTTTAGAATTGGTTTTGGGGACGCTTCTTCTGGTTACTGGATTGGGTTGGAGTGTCTTCATTTCCTCACCTCCCGAAGACCCCATCAGCTGCTGGTGGAACTGGTGGCCAGGGACGGCCGCACTGCTTCTGCTTTGTATGAAAATTTCAGCGTCGATGGAGGGGAGAACTTTTTTCAACTTCATTTGGGAAGGTGATATATTTTTTTCCTTTGAATTTCTTTGCCTTTCACTTTTCCATCGCTTTTCATTTCTCCAGTGAAGTTACCGAAATACTGAATTTCACGCTACTTTAATTAAGTTTGATTACATTTTCGGGAGCTAGTTATGTGTTATCTTCAATAAACGTTCAAGTCCAGTGAAATTTTACAGTTTCTCATTCTATTTTATCATCACTAAGGAATGTTATATTGAACGATGGAATAGTTCTGAATATTTTTTTTGCTGGAATCGCCTGTTAAAATTATTCATTCAACTTACAAAATTAATGTAAAAATATGTTTTCAGTAATGGAATTGAGACGGCAGCATAAACTTTACCAATGAGATGAAAATATTGTAGCATCTTCAATGCAAATATATTTCAACTTGTGCCAAAGTGTCTTGATATTATAGAAGAAATAAACAAACAATAAAAAACAATGAAAATTTCTTATCGTAAATGAAAAAATAAATAAGTTCACGTGCTTAACATTAAATATTAATTGTAATTATTCAATGCCTATATATTTCAACTTTTTGCCAAAGTGCCTTGATATTATAAATGAATGCATGAAATAAATGATGAGTATTTTTTATCGTGAATGAACAACTAACTAAAGTTCACGTGCTTAACAATAAATATTAATTGTAGGTTCGTGGAAGGAGACGCGGGTGACGGCTTCAGGCTGGCAGACGGAGCTCTGTTCTCCACCTACGACTCAGGTGAGCAGCGCGGCAACTGCGCGGCCAGGTGAGCAGCGCGGCAGTAAGTGGTTTGCCTGCTCCCTCAATAATTCAAAATAAAATTATGAATAAATTTTGTGTACCACTAAATGAATGAGCGAATCCCGAAAATTCGCTTGTAATATTATTTAAATCAATTATTGTTATTTGAATACATGTTTTGCTACCATTTATGTTAAATTCATCAGACGTTTAGCTGACCAAAAAAACGAACACTACCGAGAAAAGCTTTTGTATATAAAGTATATTTTAAAAAATCAAGACCTGTTATTAAAATTCAAAGAAATCCGTTACAAAAGATACGCCGTTTTATGATCAATATTCGAATTTATTGACGATTCCTGTTCATCCGTTCCCATGGTGATGCCATTTTTATCTCGGACCTCATGGTCATTTTTATCCCAATACATTTTTTGTGCCAATTTTTAGCGCATTTTCACATTTATGGAAAAAAATGCACTATTGTGCTCGCCATGTCCGTCCGTCTGTCCGTCCGTCCGTCCGTCCGTGACCTCAAGTTTTCGTCGACGAGAAAATGCGCTCTCTGTCACTCACTGCAGTGAGTTCTGAGTTATATTTTTGTTTATTTGCTGTTGCGATTCAACGGACAATACGGTTTCAATTCTCTAAGAATTGAACCAAATAAACGGGTGGTCATATCAACCAGAATCTACCGTACTAAAATAAATAAACAAAATTAAAGAAATCGAACCACTATGCACAGTTAAATTTAATTTTTTCGCGCAGGCATGGCGGAGGTTGGTGGTACCGAGACTGTCGAACCAGCTCGCTCAACGGACGGTTCACTGAGGGAGTACGCTGGTCCACATGGCCGGTTCCTGCTGGTATCATAGCTACCAGGATGCTGATCACACCGTCCTTATTCCTGCCTGACGGATACTAGGCATCCTATTGAAATTCTAGCTGGACACGTAATATGAGAAATACTTACGAGTTTCGGAGTTTGTAACTACTTCACTCAATCACTGATAAATTTTCGAGCTAAACCCACCAATCATTGATGAGAAATCTGCCGCTACATGTACTTAGGCCGCTACTTGTATCTCGGCCGCTACGTGTACCGATGCCGCTACGTGTAATTAGGCCGCTACATGTACCTAGACAGATATGCAAGTTTGATTGACGACCAGAGCATGCTTTTTATTAATAATCTTCTTATCCGATTTTTCAATGAGTCAATAATTGTATTTTCTTCAATAATTTTGAGCTAATATTTTAAATTGTACCCACTATACCATTGATATGTACTACTGTCATTTCCAAAGTTCAATTTCAAGTGTTGTAAAACATTCACTTGCTTGATAATGAAAATTGTATTTTCAAAACGTCGCTATCAATTAAAATGCCATTTTTTTAAAGGCCTCCCACACTCACCATTCCAACAAAAAGGGAATTAATTTTATTAATTAAAAACAGGGAATGGTTTCATGTCAGTGATCAGGGCCCCGACCTTAACGCCTCTGATGGTGGCCTACACCGACTCCGAGGGTCACTGAGCTGTGACGCGAGCGAGGAGCGTAACCATAGAGTCTCTCTACGTTCGCCGGACAATTCCGTAATGCGACGGCCAATCTGTGATATTAAAGGACCAGTCGTTTCACCATATGTGCCCGTCGTTTCTAATGCGACTGGCTCGTAACGATACCGAGCTGCCAACGCCGCGTATTTACGTCTCTTGCTATCCTCCGCCGCACGAGCCGCGAACCCAGCAGAAATAGCCGAATTATTGACGTGCGACTCAGCAAAAGTGTCGACGCAGGTTGCATCCCAGCACAAACACCTCCCATTAGGAAATGGAAAAACCGTTAAGCCATCTGGTCTCTTACCATCCCCTCTGTCCACTCCTACGGGTTCAAGGCATGAAGGAACGCCAGCGCTCTGAAGAGCCCTCCTGATCACATCGTTCAGAGCCGAGTGTCATGCCATTTTGTAACCTGCTTTTCGATCTCCCGGCGCCAGCAAGAAATTTTGTTCGACTCATTGAAAAAACTAATAAGAAGATTATTAATTAAAAGCAAGCTCTGGTCTTCAATCAAACGTGCCTAAAAAAAGAGCTTCTGCCGAACTGCAGCAATTCTAGACAGATATGCCTATTTATTAACTAAGTTTTGATAGTATGGCCTCTGGACACGCGATTCAGATGACACTTTCTCACAATTTTTTTCGATTTTGGAAAGTTCAGTTATACGTCAGCTGCATATTTTGCCCAATATTGTTTGGTCTAGCGTTAAGAAATTTACATGGCTTTAGCAAGGCAGGCTGTACAGCTTTCTGGCTGTGATTTTTTGAACACTTTTGTCGAACAAGTAATAAATCTGACATTTATACCTTATATATCTAGAGCAGCTCAATACTATCATCAAGCTCAATAAATTTTGCGATAACTGTACCAATCCACCAAATTAGTTTTAAGTAAATTGTTTCCCAATATAAACTTCCCTAGCTTTCTATAAATAAATTTTAATGTATTATTTCAAATCTATATGTACGAAATTTCTTTGCAATCATTTATCTATTATATCTCAAGATATCTGAGTTTTCCTGGCAACCTAAACCGAAAGCAACGGCCCAGCGCTTGATAGTTTTTGTCAGTAAACTTGGATTAGTATTATAAAGACGTTTATAACCGTATTAAGGGCTAACCTTCCTATTCTATTGTCTCTTAATTTCCAAGCGTCACTATATTCCTCAAGATAACGACGACAGATCACAGACGACATAATGTCAATGCAATTGACCCCACGTCTTTCCATACCAGCAATAGAATAATTTAAAAAACAATTTCTTGTGTGCTGCAGTTTCAAAAACATAAATTGAAGTTGGTTAAAAAAATCATATTGTCTATCCTGACATTCAATGCGAATTTTCTATTTGAGTAGCAAAGAATACGATGAAGTGTTGTGAAAAATAAATTAAAAATTTTCTGTGATGAAAGACAATTCAACAGTTTCTCTAATTGCATTTTTTTTTGCAATGAATTGCAAATTTTGGTTCTCCGTCAACGATTTGTGAGTTTTAGGTCACTACTCGCGATTGAATATTTTGAACATTGATGGCTTTGATTTTGTTCAAAATTCATTCATTTTGTTTTTACTGCTTATATCAGACAGGTTTTTGTTACAAATTCGAGGAAGTTTTTAAATCAACGAAACATTAATTTATTGTCCTTCCCGATCAAACGGCAAACATTAATTTGATTTTGTAGGCACAGGCCCGCACAGCTAGCATGTCACAAATTTTCAATGGGAGCAATGCAATTTTTAGATTATAATTTAATATAAATATTGTACTAAAATTATGATAGCTAGCAGTTTTTTCATAATAGGACACAGCTAATGCATTTATTATCACTATTAATTCTTTTCGTCCATCGTTAGAGAGTTGATTGCTGTAAAAAGTGACTGGCGATGGCCGAAAATTGTGAAAAGATACTACATAATTTGACAAATTTGCATTATGCCTGCAGATGCTTGAAAATAAATATTTTTTCCATATGCTTCTTCAGTCGTGAAAGAAATACCGAATTTGGCTATACATAAATTTTAATTGATCGTTTTTGATTTAGAAATTGAAAAATATTGCTATTTATAAAAAAAATTGTTGTCAATTCAAATAAACTTTGAATAGAAATAAAATAAATAAAATAAATTAGTCAAATAAACTTTGATTAATTATTCAACAAACTAAGTTGAAAGAAATTGAGTGATACGTTGAGCTTTATTCTTTAATAAGCGTTAGCCTGGAAGTTGAAAATTCAGACCAGTTAGTCTAATTGAATGAATATGAGACTTGTTGTAATCTTAGCTATGCCTGACTCGATCGACAATTCTACGGACTCGCCAGCGGACTCGCCTGCGTACTCGCGCAACTGGGCCACTCATAATTCCTTCAATACTTATTGGATCTGCATGAATTTTGGAATGTGAGTATTAATTATCGATACGCTTCTGCAGGAATTATTACAGATTTTTGCATGTATTATTTCCTAACCTAACCTAACCTAACTTAACCTAACCTAACCTAACAGGCTAACACAATAATAAGTCATGTAAAAATCTGCAATAATTCCTGCGGCAGTGTATCGATAATTAATACGCATATTCCAAAATTCATGCAGATCCGTTAAGTATTGAAGGAATTATGAGCGGCCCAGTTGCTGGGCTTTCTGCCCTGGAGTGGGGCTTTCTGCCCTGGAGTGGTGCTCTCCGCCCCGGTGTGGTCTCCACTTTGGTGGCCCCGTTCTGCAACCCTTCAGCCATTGAGAAATCTTGATTTTTTTCCAAGACACCCAATATTGTACCTTAAAACAAAATTCAGTCAAATTCCTTGAACTGTTCTGACGTGGGGCCGCATTGAACAAGTATTCAGAGGCTCCCATAAATTCCAACTAAAGAAAAAAAAAAAAAGAAAAGATATTTTTAATGCTTGGCGAACACGCATGAGAGCTAAATCAAGAGCGGCCTTAGCTCCGGATTCCATGAAGTCTTGAGCCCATTAAAGGGTTTAATTAGATGGCAAAAGATGAATGAAAAAAAACATGGCTGATCGTGGAACGAAAGCAATTCAGAGCCTGACCGTCATGACCATGAAAATAAGATGCCCTCGAATGCTGAAGCAACGTAGAAATCGCACCGAATATTTCTACCAAGTTCAATTGTTCATAGCAAATATGGCTATCAAACTTACAAAACAAAAGTGTATTTTTTCGTATTAACATTCAATTCATTAGACTAGAGATACAACGCGAAATAATATCAGCGTAATATCTTTATATATAATTACTCAACTAATGCAATTTAAAGGCATTGAAAAGTCATTCCTGAATAAATCTCATGACTTCCTACTACCTTTTCCTTGCAATCTGACGTCATTTTTTTTGCCTTCAAATACTGGACGCGTAACTTCAACTAATCATTTCTGTTTACGGAAGACGTGGCCTTGTTCGATT